CAGTTAACACTGTCCCTCTTGCTGAGTCCAGCTCCAATAACCTGCTGCACTAGCTAGCTCACATGTTGAAAATACTCAGCTTAGTCCCTCTGCATGGCCACAAAGTTAGTTTTAGTATAAAAATCCAGAAAATGTTAAACTATTCTTCCAAGTTGAACGTGAGATTTGTTTCTGGATCAGGAAGAGACTAAACTAAGGTAATAATCAACAGATGTTTGACTGTTAGTCATCTAGACAAAGAATAAGAAAAAAATATCTTATTTTAAAAAAGCACAATAAACAAGGTTCATGTCATTTCATATACACAAAAGATTGAAGAGTTTTAGATTACTGTTTACAAAAGCCAGAAATGGTACTTGGACAGTATTTCTAGAAACTGTTCTTATCTGATGTCATTCTAACCAGTGATACACATCTAAGGCATGAAGAAATGGCACTTTTGGATGAGCCTAAGATGAAAAACACAAAGTACTAAAGTTGCAGTCATTCATTGTTTTTTTGTCAGCACTGGCTGCATCATCTTGGTCCAGGAAAACTGGCTAAATTGGTGGGTTTCACATAACAGCATGACTTCAATGATGTAACATACACCAATGAACCAAGCTGTTCAATGTTAAAAACATACATTAACTTTTCTAGATGATTCAGAGGATTTGTGTGTGACAAAAGTATCCCCTGACTTCAGTCCTGTCCAGGACTCTTACTTGAGAGTGTGATGGATGCCTGCTGAGATCTGGAGGTTTGCCTATTGTCGTACTAACCTCAGGTCAATGTCCCTTGCTCACAGTCTCCACTGATTTTCCTCAACACACAAGAGACATTTGATCTGGCGCTGCAACAGTAAACCATCCCGACACTGCAGGACTCCAATACATTGTCTCGGCAAACACAACTAAAGCTGTAAAAACGTGTCAGTGACTGTTTATCTGGCTGTTTCCTTTATGGTGTGAACTGACTAATGGTTAGCCCTCGAGGGCGGGTTGGAAGTGAAACGGAGAGGGTGAGGGTTTCATACCTTCCTGGTTCACATAACTGTCTCATGTTTAATGGTTTCTGTGGAGGATTGCTTAGGTGGGGTGCTGCTGACACTCCTTAAATACATAGTGCAATCTCAAACACACCTGATATTATATCAAGAAAAGTTGGTTTAATGGACTAGAACAAGGATCCAAGATATCACTTGCTGAGATTATTTTTGTCTGTGATGATAAATATTGCTAATGGCATTTGTAGCCTTGAAACAAAGCAGTAACTCAGAAGTATAGACCAAACGTAGCACTAGCAAAAAGATTTTTTCTCTACCAGTCGGTCGAGCCACGCTCCATTGTAGCCTCAGCAGGTCTACCATTTATCAGATCAGTTCTGTGTCTTGCCAATCACACTGCTCTTTGTTTATTGGGTGGGCTTTGCACTAGAACTGCAACGGAGACAAACTACAAAGATTGTGGCAGCTCAGGAACTGTGCCAGTTTGAAATTATTTTGGCATCAACTTTTGATGATTCAGACTTGGGCTTTTCTTTGAGCCATGAGCAGAGTGAGGTCATAGATTTAGAAAAAATAATGTATTTTCTTCTTCTTGTTGTCTACTGCCCTGTGGACTGATTTCTGTGGAGATGAATACATTATGTTGTTTGTTTCTCTAATTGGTCCTACTGTTATCCAACTGCCTCTAGAGACAGTTTGAAAGACATCTGTAGATTCCTCCCCACTGCTGGGTTGTTTCAATGGGTCGTGGCCAGACTTTATATTTACATGTATAGAATGGCTTGCTAGGCTAACAAAGCAGTAATGTGGACAGATGGCATCTTAATTTTAATATTCTACAATAGAGATGTAAGAAAATATCAATACATTGAAATATTGCGATATTTCATGTTATGATGCGGCTGAACTAATATTTAAAAACACAGAATCGACTTTTATTGATCATTTACATGAAAACACCTATTTTATTTCTTTTGTGCGGTGCAAATCAAATTCCGCCTGCTAGATGGTAGCAGTTTCTACTGCCTTCATGAAGAATGACGAGATCTTTGATAACTCTGGATGTGTCTGGGAAGCGTTTGACCTGAGTTTTCCAAGTAAATTCAGTTTTAAGAATTGCAATGATCATCTATCTCATGGGTAAACAGCACATATAATAAACATATTTTAATGTTTTTAAATAAATTGTAGTTTTTAAATCTATATTAATACATTTGTGATTGTAAAAGATGGCATCAGATTTGTTTTATTACAGACTTGTGCTATTTGGAGAAAAGGCCTGTGGGCACCAGGTTGGTGTCCCCTGGAACCATATCAGGTCTATCTTTTAGTGACACAATATATCGTATCATCTCTCCTGTATTGTATAAGTCACCTCCATGTAATCTTCACAATACACACCACTATTCTACAATATGCAATGTTATCACTACAAATAATCTGCTGCAGAAAACATATTCTTCTCAGTTTTGGTCAGTTACCTTTTATTTACTAAATCAGATCTAGAGTCTGAACAACTGCATAGATTTCTACACTGAATGGTATTAACTCATTTCATATTTTAATTGATTTTTACTTAAAATAAAACATACACCCTGCCTGCACACTTGTTCCTGTTCTTCGACAAACCAAGACAGAATTCAGGAAAAGCTCGTCGACCTGACAGTCTCACAGTCCAATCCGAAACCCCACGATTTTAATTTGAGGGCAGAATACATTAGACCCACAGCACTGACACGCTTCACATGTAGCCATCTGCCTCCAGTGGGAGGGGAGATATGAGGATCTGAGGCAGACTGGGGCAAAGCCTGCACCAGACACATACACAACAAAGGACGAATTCTGCCAAACACAGAGACGCTCTGGTGTTTTACACTAAGCTTCACCTCTGAAGTCTTATTTACTTCACTGTTCACTTTTGTATTAAGTAATTTCCAAACATACATGACAAACAGCCCATAAAAATGTTCAATGAGGTTCTCCCGTGATCACAGAACTGGAAACATCTCAGTCTGAATCAAATGCAGAGGGCTTCTGATGAGGTTTCCTTGTACATTTCAGTGACCTATTTGAGACAGTAAGGGATTTGGGGTGTCCCAGTCGTTCTGTCAGATTTGAAAAACCAATGGGAGGCTGTGATGCCCCTCTTTGTCTTTTGGGCTCTGGCAGACAATGACAGAATTATAGCTCTCTAGCAAGGAAACTCCCATTATTCCCGATGCTTCCATCCTCCTTCCAGCACAACAATCTCCTCTTACTGGGTCACCCTCAGCATACTAATATAAAACTGTCAACACACAAGCAAGCCCCTATCTATGCTCCTAATTCCCCAATGGGAAGCATTACTGGTATGCCCGTCCCTCCTTTCTAAACTACCCTACCCCCACTGCCGCCACTAAACACGTACATTCTTGCCCTTCCCCTCCTTGTAGCTGTACTGATGCACACTCAGCACCACCTGTAATTACAGGGACGATGCTTTGAATGGATTATCTATTTCGGGGTATCCAAACTTCCCCTCCCCACGCTTTTAAAATCATCTGTTTGACCTCTTTTTGGCTCCCCTTTCCCGCATAAGAAAGACAAGATTAAGTTAGCTGCCAGACGGGCACCCCACTCTCTTTTCATTTATAGATGGAGAGGGAGATGTTATTCTGGAACATTTTTGCCACACTGCTTGAAATGTTCTTTGTATACCAAATGGCACCCAATAAACGTTTTGTCAAAAAAAAAAAAAAAAAAAAGAGAAGAATTTGAATCACCTCTGAAACATACAACCCTGGAAAAACTTCAGGGTTAACGCCAGCCTATCCATGCTAAAAGTCCGTTGAGGGGGTAGGAAATCCAGCTAGTGGCCAGCCTAGGCACGCTAATGGCTAGCCTCTCCAATGCTAACACCAGCCCGTCCAGGCTAACGCTAGCCTACCCATGATAATAGACAGCAGAGGGAGTGTGTGATCCTGTCAATGACCAGCCAAGGGCTGCTAGTCCCTAGCATATCTAGTAGTAACGCCGGTAAAGGTGCTATTTCTCAGTAAGCAGCACCAGCCTCTCAGTTACCGGCGTCAGCTTAACATTAATCAGATCGGCAGTTTGCTTCGGAATTTATATAGCCTCCTGCTGCTGGGCAGTAGTCTTAATTTTGGCCCCCATACCGCGCCATAGAATTAAACAGAGGACGAGTCTGGCAAGCCAGGCTAGTAAACAGCTTGAGATAGAACTGGCGCCTATCTTCAGCGCGGCGCTTCTGGGATGCGGCACGGCGCTCCCCATGTGCCCACTCTCGTTAACTATAATGGCTTCTATTTAAAATGACGGCGTGTCGCGTTCACCTCTGGTGTGCCCTAGACTTAAAAGATGATGTTGGTGGAACCTCAAGATATTTTTTGGGGACTGCTTAGTGGTGGTTTTTAATAGTCCAGGGCAATGTCTTTGTATCATTTTCTTAGCTTTTTACATAAGAAATCAAGTTAACTGAAACAACTGAATCCCGGTCATTTCTGGAGTGCATCAGGGTTAAAGTGTTCAGTCCCTGGCTTTTACTATCAGGACATATTCTATTGTCTCCACTGTATTACCAATACACACTCCTACTAAATTGTCATACATCTATGTAGATGAGTTATGTTAGGGATTACAGCAGAAGGGTGCCGATAATGAACAGAAAAGGGTAAGATAACATGTTGTTTTATGGTTGTTTGAGGGTATCCGTTGCCTTCGGTGTTATACCATTTTCTGTGACCATCAGATTCTGTGACTCTATGGAGGAGGCTGGGGAAAGGGGTTGGAGCTTAGAATTGTTATTTTTCAAAAAGCAGCTTCCTTGAATGGTTTTATCCAAGAATATCCACTCTACCTTTAAGCACAGCTAAATAAAAATGCTAATCTGTAATTATAGATGTTTGTGGTATTAGAAGTTCAGCTCATCTTTGCATCACCCAGTAAAGCTTTCAAAGCTTATTTTGTGGTCTGTGATAAAAAAAAAAAAAGCTCAACACATGTGAATAAAGCTTACCCTTATAATTAGGATGAACTCGGGGAGCGTATACTCCAAATTTGATGAGGATGGGAACGTTGTAACCGAGACGCACCCACTCCACGACATGCAGTGGAAAGAGGTTTGGGGTAGTTACTTCTTTGGATGCAGGGGTGAGATTACAGCCCAACTCTGCAGAGGCCCCCTCTCTGGCACGAACCAGTGATGCCAAACTCTGCGACACACCTGCAGACATCAGTATGGTACTGAATTAATCCTAAACATCTGCAGATGGCACAAAACAAGTGAATGAACCCATGATTCTTTATTAAAAAACCTCTCTGCAAACTGTTAATCATTTATGTGAGAACTGTAAATCCCATCAAAGGTGGACACATTTTATAATAAAACTAAACCAGATAGTTGATGAGGAACAACAAAAACAAAGTGCCATGACTGATCTGGACTGAAACTGATCACAGATCAACCACCGAGTCCGACTCTCCCAGACAGGTAAAAGCCAGGAGAGTATGTGAAAGAATCATGTGGCGCTCGGTAACAAGATTGCGTAGCTGCAATCCCATTAGTGACACCTGGAGCAGGAAGTAGTCTCTCTGCCTCTCTCACTGCCATGTGCTGACATGGGTGTGTGCTCAACTGGGTGCCCATGTTTGCTTCACTGCTCATCTGGCCTGGTGATTACTTTAATCTCGGGGGGGGGGGGGGGGGTCACTCTGATGTAGCAGGACCCTCTCCGTGTTTGCTCCAGCCAACCTCTCACCACCCTCTGGGGGTCTGCACATGGTCTGTGGACCAGCACGATCAATCTCACCACCAACCCCCTTTGCAAATACAACACAACACAAGCCAACACACACACACATACACACAAGCGTGCCTGGGGTTGGGGGTAGCATAAATCCAGGATTGATCTAAATCCACACCCAGAGATATTGTTTAAGTTGGGTTTTTGGCCCAGTTTTCTCCCTCTTGTCCACTAAGGTCTGAGCTGTGACGCCCCTCCTCTTCACTCTCTCCGACATAAAGCAGCCAGAGCTGTGCCAGATGATTTATGTTGTGTGTGTGTGTGTGTGTGTGTTTGCTGCCTGCATGCAGCTAAACAACAATGTAAACCACCTGCTTTCTAAATTTCCCCCAGATGCATGTCTGCATATCCTGAAATCTTCCATTCAAGAATCTTGTAGAACAAAAAAAACTATTCATGTGTCAAGAAATGACTCTGAAAGAGTTTTGAAAGTGCAATGGATTACGTAACCATTGCAAAAGATATAAATATTGTTTCAAAGTCCAATTAAGTTAAAACATCGATATGGAGTGAAAGTGTCACTGTGGTACAGTGATCCTGACCTGGCAAAGAAAATAGTTTAAACAGCAGAAGCACAACCATCACAAATAAGTCTTTTTTTATTTGTGTGAAATAGATGTATCTTTTAGTATGATTGTTTGTATCTTTTACCATTTTATATTGTTATTGTGTTTGTTTGTTTGTAATATCCAAATTAAATAGCCAACACCATGTGTAAAATGCCCAGGCTTCTTCAGATTAGAACATTTATTTAAAATTCTTTGTAATATTTGGGATTTTAAACAGTTATTGATACAAACCAAAAGGTAAAGTTTTGCAGCTCTGGCTGCTTCACTTGTAAGTCGCTTTCGACAAAAATATCTGCTAAATACATAAACATAAACATAAAGTCGTAAAATGTAACAAAAGAAAACAAACAACAAAGAACATTTAGAAAAGGGAAAGGGAAAAAAGTCAGAGAAAAGCCTTGTTAATGTGTGCACTTAATCAATTTTTCCAATAGCATACTTACTTATCAGACAGAAGAATACAGCAGTGGTGACAGCATGAAGCCACCGTCTCTCCAGTCCCATGGCCGTCTGTCAGGCTCCTTCCCACATCTCCCGGTCTGAAAAACAAGTCCAAACATCCCGTTTAGTCCTCATCAGAAAAACCCTCCTGTAGCATGTACAGAATGACAGAGTGGACTCCCTCACATCCCCCAGAGGACAAAATGTAATCCCTAGAGTTAACATCAACTCATTATCCAACCAGAATACTACATTCCAGATGCCTTTTGGGTAATAAACAAGAGTGTTCTTTGAAAACCTAAGCATCCTTAAAATGGGATGTTTGATAAATGCTTGGATTAATGCAAAGCTAAACTAATCCATCAAAGGCAGTAGGACATGCTTAGAGTGTGTATCCTGTGGAGGTTCGACTGCAAAGAGTATTTGTGTGTGTGTGTGTGTGTGTGTGTGTGTGTGTGTGTGTGTGTGTGTGTGTGTGTGTGTGTGTGTGTGTGTGTGTGTGTGTGTGTGTGTGTGTGTGTGTGTGTGTGTGTGTGTGTTGGTCACACTGAAGACCAGGGCAAGGCTCTACATGTATTAGATTAACCTCACCAAGAAAGTCTTCTCTAAATAGGCCAGCAGCAATTGACAGGTGACAGGAGCGACATTGAAAGGTGTTTTCCCAGCTCCAGGTTTTATCTTATTACCGATGTTAAGAAAATTGAACTTAAGTGATATAAACAGACTTCTGATGGAGGACGATCTTATCTTAGAATTTAAAGCCGCAGCTCGTTTCTTGCAAACAGCAGCATCACGGGCTACCGAACGCACTAACAACTCATACAAGGGCACCATCACAGTCGGCTGACTTTGATCTCCTAATGAGGCAGACAAACATGACTCCACTTGAAAAAATTGCAGCCCTACTCCAGAGTCTGCACAGCTGCGACAACACATGAGCCCCCCACCTGCTCACTTCAAATTGGATTGGAGGGAAGTTTAAGTTGTTACCCTTCAAACACAATGAAAACACTCCCCCCTTCATTCAAATCACTTCATTTGGTCCCCCTAATACCAGCTTATTGCCTAAAGTTCATTAAGGTAAATTAAGATGGGGCTGTTCTTGGACAGCTGCTAGAAATGAGCTGCCGATGCAAGCAGACGCTCAAATGAAACCAAACTCAACACAACTTGGAAATCTTTCTGCAACTCTCAGTAGTGGAGAGGAACCAAACCACATTAGTCAGACTGGCTTCACTGTAAAAGCTGGTGAAAAGGGCAGGGAGGGGCATTTGATTAATTGTTGTGGTCAGTAGTTTGCGCAAGGCAGAATCGATGCAATCATGAAAGGATTACTCCTATTAAATGAATAATGTTTGCCAAAGGGGCTGCTGCAATAAACACTGATGTTACTCTGGATTCAGAGGGTAATAAATATATGCAGTACAAAGTGTTTGGGTCATCTCCAACAATAAAAATAAAAGATGGAGGTGGTAGCACACTACTGCATCCTCTTCCTTGATGACTTTTCACTTGTTTAAATGACATAACAAACCCCATCATACCCTGGAAGTACAACCCAAGCTCCTTTCTGAAGCATTACACATCCTCAAGTCACATTTGCTCCCAGCTGCTTTGTTGTGCTCATACACCGTAATGTGTGACTGTCTGGTGGAAAGAGACGCTGAAGAAAAAGCTAGGGGGGTCTTTGTCTGCAGGTGCAGTATTAGACAGAGACAAGCAGGTTATTTCCTCCTGCAGCAGAGCACAGCTAGGCCATTTAATTAGCATGTGCATAAAGCCTCTATAGGAGACTAGTCAAGACGGTGACGTGTAATACTTATGATATATCAAAGTAATATCTAACAGCAGCAATTTGCTGCCATTTGTCGGACGACGTTGTTGTATGTTGACCGTTTCTGTAATTGTAAGGTGATTGTTTACTCACAAAATATGGGTTTTTATCCTTCTACAGTAAGTAAGGAGTGCATATGACTGCTACACATTCATTTTAAACAGGTTATCAAATGTAAAAAACATGGCATAAATAACTCACATACTCAACATAACTCAAAAAAACAAACTTTACTCAGAATAAAAGTAGGAAATACGTCCACGTACGACACGGACAGCCTGCATGTTAGTGACATGTAAAGATCCAGAGTAACACTGGATTTCACTGACACAAATTGCTTTAGACCTAGTCATGACTTAGCCTTCTGGATGGTACATTTGTGGCGCCCAGTGTAATCCTGGCCTCCTGTTTCAAGTGTTAATAGTTTAATTGAATTAGAGATCAAACTGGTGAGACACATCAAGGACACTATCATGTGGCTGAACGGAGATCCATAACTGCTGAATCAGGTCACACAAGTCTTAACACTGAAGGGGTCCAGTGTCGGTGACAATATGGCTTCTTTAGTGGATGGAAAGGTGTAAAGTGATCTTTGATTTGGAAAGTGGAGGAAACACATGGCACGTGGTCCACCCAAACGAGTTTTCTCAGGTCAAAGAGCACAATAACACATAGACTTACTGGTGCTAACTATGGAATCTACATATTTCCACTACAAAAGTTTAGAGACGTCTTGCACATGTGCACGTCACTGTATTTATGAAAGTCACAACAAACCAGCAGGTGTTTGGACTATTGCATCAAGCACTGTCCCTTTCATGAAGAATTTATATCCTGCAGACTCACTTCCTGGCTAGCAAAAAGCAAAACATGCACTTAATCAGCTGAATCCAACCTGTCAGCTTTAGCAGCAGGTAGGTTAAATCTCTCCATATGCATCTGCCCTGTCACACTGTATCAATCAGACATAAGCTAAGTATTGAAACACGGATCTGTATTCTCTTGCAGTCTATAGGATAAGTAGCATGAGATTTTCATTTCTTTTCATTAATATATCATACATTTGCCATTTAATACGATTTTTGACCTGATGCATTAGAGATTATATGTTATCCCTGGTACCTAAGCAGGCCCATCAGTGATGCTAGCGACAGATACAGGCCTGATAAGAAGTAGTATTACTCTCTTAGTAATCCCCGTAATCCTGGCAGGCCGCGGCCTTTGCACAAACCTAGAATTTACAAGTGTTACTCGAATAGGAGCTCACTCAGCAATCACAATTGCACAACTAGCACACAAACAATGACCACATATCTGCTCACATACTCCCAGCAGATCAGTTATTACAACAGTTACTGGTCTAAATCCATGGACCAGTCTGCACAGCAAAGTGGTCAATGCATGGATTTTGTCCCTGGTAATGCAGCCTAGTTTAGAATGTGTATTGACATTTGTTTTAGCAAAAGGAAATAAACTGGGCACACCCTTGGCATGGGATTGGAATCCCAGTATCCTGGGGAAAGCCTGGTGCATATGGATCAACATAGTGACCATGGAAAGGCCAACATATGGTACTAGCGGGTTTAACAATCGTTACTATGGCCCAATGTTTTCAAATTATTGTCTCACTCTCACACAGGCGTCACTGTGGCCTGCTGCAATGACTACACAGTTCTTGGGATTATTACACTAAATCACCTGAGTGCACTTAATATTTCCTCAAGATGATCCACATTCATGTTCAGTAACTCAAAGTAAAAGCAGAAAATATGTGGTCTTGGGGTTGTGTCATTTCCTGCTCTCAAGAGCAAACAAAAAACACGGCCCTAAAGTCATGAACTCTGACTCATAAAGGTGCACTGGATTTATTTTAAAACATGAACAAACAGATACAAAAGACTTCTCATTTCCTTATGTTGCACAACTCCTACTGACCAGATGTAAAAGGATTTTCCAGAGAGTGCCTGTAATAAATATATTATGAATAATAAGTACTTTTCTTTTTATTCCTCACATTATTACCATGTTATTGGTGGCTAATTGAGAAAGACAGCTAACTCAGCTATTAAAAAAAAGCCACTCATGAATAATTTGTTACCAGGAGCAATCAATTTCCCAAGGCGTGGTCACAATCTTCCTGCAGGGAACAAATAACCGCAAAGAGACAAATTTTCATCCAAAGCAATAATCCAGTGAAATGTCATGGCTTTGTAGACCAATAATGATTAATAATGAGAGATGATATGGTATAAAATGACATCTGAGGTTACAAACACTGACTTTAAGAGCACCTGGAAGTTTGATGATATCCAAAACTGACTCCCAGGATTAGGGATGATGGATCCTAAGCGTCTCTTTACAATGTCAATAAAGTAAAAACATATAAAGATATGATTTGATGTTTGCAAAGGTAACAGGAGCAGACACGTTTTTCACTGGGGGTTTTCTCCAGGAATTAGTACATGCGAAAACAAATTCATAAATATGTCAAACTAACACCCCTGAGAACCTATAAGCTGATTAAAAACAAGGATTCTTCTTATATGTATGCAAATAAAAAGAAACAACAGTCGTCTGTTGTGACATTTTCTTCTCTGGCTCTCCCTGCTCACTTAACAGCACAACAAAAACACGGAGAAGGGAAAAAGCAGGCCAAATGACTATTAAAGAGAAAACGTGCCAGCAGCTGCACCACTTTCTGCTAAATTGTTAAAAACCAGCTTTTGTCCAGCACACTGTACCAAGCAGAGCAGCAGGCTGATAACCTGTCTGGTGCTACAGAGATCCACCCAGATGATCGGAAGAAAACAGGTGCGTCTTTTGTCTTAATCTGGGAGTCTGATGGCAGGTGAGAGGAGGGTCCTACACACTATTATAATTAATATATATGTTTTACTTACAATTCATGTTATTTTAATTAAAAATACATTTAAGATGTTTGATACCCAGAATATATTTTAGCTACTAAAAGCAGTGGCAATTTCTCCTTTAATTATTCATAACAATTATTACAAATAAAAAAGAAAAGTCATCAATATTAAATAAAAAGGCCACAAACCCCGAGTAAAGTCGTGTGCAGACACAAACTCTAACCAGGCCTGAAGAGCTCTGGATGCACCTTACCTTTCTTCAGGCACTTCACACTGGAGTCGGAAGTCTCTTAATCCATTGATGCTCCTCTTTCAGACTTTTCTCGGACCAGATTTAACCTCCAATTCCTTTCTCGTCTGGGTAAAATTAAGTATCAAAACTCCGTTTAGAAGAAAACCAAGAAGAGGATGAAGAGGGCGCAGGTAGTCACATTTTTCTTTCCGTTCAATGTGAGGATCAGACGAAATCAGTCTTTAATCTCCATCTGGAAATTGATGTCCAACAAATTTGTTTCCGTCTTCAGTGAAACCTGCAAGTCCAGTTGGCTTTAATGGTTCTGACATCAGCACATTTAAAGTCCATTTAAACTTTCCACGCAGTTGCTTGTTATGGTCGCAGTCCTCTCGGGCCAAACTTGTCTGAAGCGCCTTTAATGGTGAGTGAGAGTTTAATGTTGGCCACGTTAATACGCGTAAATGAGTCGGTGCTGTCCGCGTTAACCATCTAATAGTAGCGAGACTGGTCAGAAGGCTCCTAGCACGCTGAGCAGGAGCCGTGTTGTTGATCCTTTCCCGGAGCGGCCCTCTCATTATCATCTTCCCCTCCTCCTACTACAGTCGCTGCTCACACCCCCGTCAGCTTACGCAGAGCAAAAACATCCAACTTCCGATCAGAACTTTCAAAATAAAACGCCAACACAAACTCAGGTGAGGTGACAACTTCCTAATCAACACACAAATGAATTATTTATTTAGGCATTTTAGCTCATTGGGATTTTGGAAAATAAAAATTACTAATATGATCACATTATGTAGGCTGATTAATTGTAAAATCAAATCTTGGTTCACCTCTAATTTCCTCAAACTCAACGGCAATAAAACTGAACTTCTTGTTGGTACCAAATCCACCATCTCCAAATCTGACAGCTTTTCTTTAACTATTGACAGCGCCACAGTCTTCCCCTCCCCTCAGGTTAAGAGTCTTGGTGTCATCCTTGACAGCTCACTTTCTTTTCATGCTCACATCAATAACATAACTCGGTCAGCCTACTTCCATCTTCGATTCATAAACCGTCTCCACCCCTCCCTTACCCCTCACACTGCCACCATTGTCCACAGTCTCATCACCTCCCGTCTCAATTACTGAAATTCACTTCGTTTTGGTCCCCCTTACAAACTCCTTCATAAACCTCAGGAGGCCGTATTATCACCAGAACCCCTTCCTTTCACCACATCACCCCAGTTCTCCAGCAGCTTCACTGGCTTCCTGTTAAATTCAGGTCCATCTTCAAGATTCTCCTCCATACCTTCAAAGCCATCCACAACCTCTCTCCTCCATATATTTCAGACCTTATAAGTATTACCACCCCCTCCCGTTCCCTCAGATCATCTTCCTCCCTCCATCTTGCTGTTCCTTCTGCCCGTCTCACTACCATGCGGAGCAGAGCTTTCAGCTGCTCTGCTCCCCATCTCTGGAACTCACTCCCCCCAGACATCAGAAATATTGACAGTTTCATCCTCTTCAAATCCAGACTCAAGACACACCTGTTCAAATCTGCCTATGACCTCTGATTTTATTAGATTTTTTTCTATGTTCTTTTCTTCATTGTGTTTTATTGTTGTTTTAATGTATTTTACTGAATGTATATTTCCTGTCAAGTGACCTTGGGTGTCCTGAAAGGTGCTTTTAAATAAAATGTATTATTATTATTATTATAAAATGTGATTATTCTGAATGTAATCAATACTTGTGTCAGTGCAATACTTTACCTGTCAAGGATGTGCTGCCGGGCACCACCATTCCCTCCGACCACCACCAGCAGGCAAGGTGGGTTAAGTGTCTTACCCGAGTGCACAATGACAGTGACAGACTGAACAGGGCTCGGACCTGCAACCATCCGATTACGACGAGGAGAGCACTTAACTCCTGTGCCACCGTCAGCCCATTGTATCTTGTTGTGCTCATGATTATCTTGTCTGATATGCTTTAACGTGTCATGCTGTGCTCATTTCTACTTATCTTATCTGTACAATGTCTTTATATTTCTGTGAATTGGACTAAGTCCAGAATAAACCATACTTGCCTTGACTTAAATGTTTTAGTACTAAGCTAAACATATCCACATTTTGCTCTTCTTGTGATCAACAATTCCAAATATCTAAATAAGTTAAGACAATTGTAAACATTAAATGTTACAACTGTAGGCAAGGGTCTAAGAATAAGTTAACGTTAACTCAAAATTACTGTATTTTTTACATTGTTGTAGAATACATTTTTTAAACTAGTTAGGTTCATGAGCAAAACGGGGAAATGCAAATATATCTTTAGAATGATTAAAATTAAAACGGTTGGACCAAGACGCTTTTATTTTGAAGAAAAAACAACCCGCATCCGGTATATGTCTCCTAACGTAGAGGAACTTAACAAAGCTGGTAGTTTTAGCGCCTTTAGACAAAAGCGCCTTTCGGTGGGAATGGCTGGTGACTGTAACAAAAGGCAAAGGCTAATTGACGGGAAAATTACAGCTTCCAGGGGAGAAAAATGCGCCTGTAGGCGTTTGTTTCTGAACGAAAACCTCACACAGTTTTAATTTTCAAGAATCAGTTTTAAATCTCTATACTGAAATAAATCAAACCGTGCTTTAAATAACATGTTATTACATTCGTTAAAAGGAGATAAGACGCGTTATTATTAACAGTTACGTGTATTTTCCATTCTGTGTCCATAGCACTAGCATAACCGAGAGTTAGCTTTACGCTAGCTAAAAAATGACCCGCATTTTGCTCTGTAAACCTCATATTAGCAAAAATAAATAAATAAAAAACATCTATATTAGAGACCATTACAAATTAAGTAATTGGTAAATAAGGTAATTCACGTGAGACGTATGGCCTGTTATAACCTGTGGCGATAGCATTTTCAAGCACTTCCCGTTTACTAAAGACGGGTCAAAGGTCAGAACCCACACACAAGGACATTAAATAATGGTAAACGTTTTTCCGCTATCTTACCTTAATCAATCCTTTTCATAAATTGATAAAATGAGATGGATTTTACATAAAAACTACACAGTTGACTCACGTGAATGTGGTCAGTTCGGGTTCTGGTTTAAATTAGCCAATTAGAAACCACATGAACCACCAGTAGGGGGCGGTAGTATCCGGAACAACCAAATTAGGCTTTTATTATCATAAACGTTTTATATCTGGTTCCCTACAATTCTGTTATATGAAACAATAGAGAATACCATTGTATTTATTAGCAGAAAATTTTAATGAAATGAAAGTTATGCTTATAAGGAAAAAGACCCAATTTACTTCTAGCATTTGATCATTTCAAAAGCTGTTTCTGGAAAACTAAAGCTATAAATTACTAACATTTAATTATAAAATATGTAAATAAGTATAAACCAATTGGGTTTCTCAATTAAAGATTTCTGAAATTGTGCATTTCCACTTGTATAGTTCACACAAAAGTTAAACCAATCAGTTTTTTTAGGAAATTCAGCACGATCCATCCAACATCAATCTGCATGATCTGAATTGCTGTTATTTATCAGTAAATGATTAGTTTTCACCTTTTTTTTTTAAAAAATAGACCAGTTATAAAGCGACAAAAACGTCTTGAAGCTCAAAAAACCTATGACAATTGCAAAGTTCCCATATGCATCTTAGTCCAGTGTTTCATCCTTCCAGATCTTTTTTGAGACATAATTTGTTGCAAACACAAGTCAGATAAAAAAACAAAGTTATTTCTAGATTGTCAGCAAGATGGGACAGTGCACATAATGCAGTAATTCTAATTTCTGTAAGACGCTTTTGTACACAACTAGTCTCCGTAAAATCAAGCAGGGGAAAACTTTCTGAGAAGATTTGAAGAGCTTAATCTGATCTGAGTAACTAGTTAGTTGTTATGGTTGGTGGCTGATTGAGCGAGTGCATTTATTAGCAAGCAAGTATCCCAGAATTATCCCCGTGGTAAGCAGCAGGCTGCCAGGCATCTGAAGGGATTACTCAAGTCCAACCTTCACCAGCACAACGTTTTACATCTGAGCCATTTCCTGCCACACAAATAAAAGTGGCAACTTTTCATCCAAATATTAGAAAGATTACTCTGAAATAGATAGGTTAGTAGCATATATGGCAGAGCAGAAAGGTGTTTGTGCTGCTCGATGTTCAAAAATGTTGACTCACAGACCAGGTGGACCATATGGAGATCAGAGGATTGGGATTAATCACACAAAATCCTCCAAGAATGAGCAAATCTGAAGAGTAGGAAGAATTAACTGAAGGATAAGGAAAACTCTGATAAACAGTACTGCTCATTATGAAATACAAACTGTGTTAGCCTTTTAACAAACATCAGTCTTCTGCAGAAAAGTTCTAAAAATGTCACGATCTTGTCACACATATTTATGAAGTCATTCAGCATTCAAGATTTTAATCATGTAGGTTTTTATAAGCTATGAGCTTATAAAAATACATAATAAAATGACCCAAAGAAAATTAAATTATTTTATTAATTAAATAAACTAACCAAGAATATACAAATCAAGCTACATTTGTAAGCAATCTGGCATTAAATAAACAACAAGTCTGAGGCATGAAACAGGAATGATTAACCTAATTTCTCTTAGCAGTTTTAACTTTGATACTAACAGTAAAAGCAGCACAGACAGAATAAAGATGGTGTGGTGTGGTGTGGTTTAGTCATCAAAGTCTGGGATGTCATCATAGGAGTATCCCGAGTAGCCCTTGGAAGCGTAGTAAGCAATTCGTAGGTGGTAAAAGCCTGGCAGGAAGACAAGGATCCCAATGATGAGGACGGGCAGTGTCCGGTCAGAGTCCTATAAGAGAGGAAAAATGTTTATCGGTGAATAAATTGTTTGTACAATTTTGTGAAGAAAATAATTGCCTTGGAAAGAAACTCACAGTGTCTCCAAAGTATCCTGCCAAGAGGAGTGAACCAATGATGATTAGGAGTGAGCCAATCAGGAAGAGCACTGTGGCGAGTGCTATGGCTTTATACGGGACTTTGGGTGGACTCCTTTTGAACTGAGAAGGAGACATTTATCATCATAGCTTTCTGTATTCACTTTATTATTAAACAGCCATCAAAGTTAAAGTAGAGACAACACTAAGTATGACTTTCTGCCTCAAAAAGGCATATTGTGATGATTAAAAGATTAACCAAATTGACTGGAAACGTGTCTTTTATCCAGCCAATTTGGGGGAAACAACCAACTGGTTTACTTCAGAGCTGCAGATTATTTCAGGGATCACAAAAATGATACTGCAGTCTTTGAGAAAATTCAACAACATTTGTATTTAAATTCTTACTCACTGTGGAAGAAAGGAAACACAAAATGCATAATAAACTAGCCTAATAACTATATCAGCAGTAAAATAAATAAGCACAATTTCAGATCTCACACATACAGTACGGGAAAAATAATGGAGAAACATTTTACAATAAAATGGAAATATTTTAAGATAGTACCTTAATTTGACCTTGTTTAATAAGAGTTTGAAAAACTTAAGCTATCATTTAGTGAATTCAGCTAAGCTAAAGAAGCTATCTTAAATTATTTATAGTTTAAACTTGGAATAAGCGTTAATTTAAGGGGAACACATTTGGCCACTGCAGCTTTTTGGCCCTTTTAGCATGTTTTAGCTAATAATAAACAAAGACAGGACAGTTGTGACGTTCTCCTACCTGTAAATCAATGTAGCCGTCGTCATCTGAGGCTAACCTGGAATACCTAACTTTGCTGTTAGGAACATCGTGAGAAACAATATTTCGAGCAGGCATCCTCCACAGCTTCAACTGGAGCTTAACAGCTTGTCGTCAACAAGGCAGAAAAAAACATTTACAGAAGCTTAAACGAACCTGCAGCCATCTTAATGGTCACTCGTTAAGCTGGCATTACTAAAATAAAGGAAAAAAATACCCTCGAGTCAAATTAGGATAGTTGTGGCTAGCTGGACACGTTTTGACTAGGAAAAATGCAGGATGTTATTGGTTTAGCTGGGGACTTCCTCGTTGCCTGTTTGATATGCGCATGCGCAAGTGTGACAAGTACTGTCATTGTGTTACCACAAGGGGGAGTAGTCGAGTCTTATTAGAACGACCCGCTCGCTGTACGAAGCTGTGTCACTGGGGTCAGGTCTTATGTTGTGAGGATGTTGAATCCGATGTGTTCTCCCAAGACAGGTTTGTAATCAGTCCATGTTCTTAGATCAGATCGTTTCTGTCCAAAGCCTCTGGACTTTCAAGAAATTTCATTAAACAAGCTGCAACGTTCTCTAAAATCTGTTTTCAGCCACAAAGATGATAGTTTCTGGGTCATACACAATACAGACCGACAGGAAAAATGTCACAAACAGATAAGAGCTTTAATGTTATCTAATTTGTGAAATTTACATGACAAATGTCCCAAAACAATCTAATAAATGGACTATTGTCACATTTAATTATTCATCTAATCAAGTTAAAGGTGGGATTTACAAATAATATTTAGTACATCTATTTCATTTAGTATGTTTATAATGAAAATCTGTTGTTTGCAGGGAGTGGGCTCAAAATCTTTGTCCATAACACCAGATATCATCTTAAAGCTTTGCAAGACATAAGCAGATTGACTAACCATGAAATAAACAAACACATAAAAATGTCAGCTGTAGACAATAGCCTTGATGTGAATAATTAAGACTGGACAGTAATATAGACAAATATAGACACTGCTTAAGGCAGCATGAGCCAAGAGGGACTGTTAGTGCAAAAGAACCTTGGACGAGGGTTGCATTGTTTTAATTTACAGCCAGTCGTTTACTGTTGATCCTCAGAGGAAGCAAAGCCCTTAAACTATTCATTTGTGATTCGTATTCCTGCTGATTTGAACTGCAGCAATATGAGCTGCCATTATCACAGCCTCATGCCTCTTGTCCAGTTATTTGATGCATGTCTGCAGATATGACCGAGTTTCTGAATGATAAAATCACTTCATGCAACCTCATTTCCTTTTTGCTTGAGCAAACACATATGTTCTTTTTTGTGATCAATTTGCATTACACTTATTCAGAGTCATGTGGACCATCTATGCTTCTTTAAATAATTGATTGCTCAGACCTTTTACACATGCATATTGTTTTCTTTATGTCATGGTCTGTGCTGAGCTAACCTCTGTCTGTTGCAGGTGGGCGTGTTCCGGAGAGCAGCTGTTGCAGATCATCTCATCAGTGGTCAGAGGATTTAAGGAGCGGCGTGACAACTCACCAGTGCCGGATGATTACTCAGTATTGGGTAGTGTCAAGCCTATGCGCTTGCCTGTGTCAAGATTTGTTTGCTTCCTGTGTTTCTCAGCGATCCTCGTATTAACCTGCCCTATTCCTATGACTCACTCAGGTTCCTCTCGTCCACTAAGACCACACTCCTCTTCAAGAAAACTCCCTCAACCCTGCCTGCCAGCCACGCCGCTCTCCTCCGACTGCCTGCTCTCCACCGCTCACCTGCCAGTCTGGACAAATTTGGACTCCTGTTCCCCCATGCTCAGCTCCCAGCCATCGCCTCGGGCTCTCAACCATCCCGCTCAGCCAGACCTGACTTGCCCTCCTCTCGAGCTCCCAAAACATCCAGGAAACCATAAGCCTCTTCTCACTCCCGGACCACAGATCTCATACACCTTAACCAAGCATAATAACTTTTTACTTACCCTCTGTCTCTCGTGGTGATTCTACATGTCGTGGGTCAAAAGTTTACACCCAAACATGACACTTTACTGTTAAAGAGCAAAGGTTACCTTTATTGATCCAGTTATTTTAGAACCAGTGGCTGCATGTTGCTTGTGCTCACTGATCATCGCGATGACGTCACAGGTGCATTCTCCTTCTTTATGCTGAATAACATCCTCCTCCTCTGATCTGGCTTGTCTCTTAGATGCTCTGTGTCTACACTCAAGGTCATGGCATGAGCCGCTTATACACTCCTGCTCACTCTGCATTTAGAAACACGGAATTTAATTTGTCTGCTTCGTGGACTTGAAACAATCTGCAGGACCGGATACATTTGCAGCCATTGACATTCATAAATTCAAAGTGAATGGGAGCAGAGATGGAATAATCTTTGAGTAATGCTGCTGCCCCTTCAGATTCTTTTCAGACGTTACTTCATTCATCGTCAGTCTTATCCCTTTGGTGCATAATGGTCACTACAGTGGACAGGTACTCAAAACTGTTATTTATTTGTTTTTGCTACTAAGCACAGCTGTTGAAGACTTTATTGCATTTGAGCCCCTCCATTTGGACTTCAGGAAGCCAAGCCAACATATTTCATGCTCAGAATGCACGCTGTCCACTAAGGTGAACACGTAATAAATTATTTGTAAATTATAAAATTTGACAAAAAATATTTGTTGAAATTTGTTTCATTCACACGTAAAGACGAATGAAAAAAATTGTTTAAAAAATCATGGTTGAAGATTTCATAATTCATGCATCAAAGGGTTATGTTGGTGCGGTCATTTCTCTCCCTGTTTTAAGCTCAATGCAGCTCACATTACAAACAATAATGCCCCTGCAACATCTGGAGTGGTGATTAATTAATCAGATGATCGTGACAGCAGAGTATGTTGTCATGCTGGTTAATCCCCAGTACAAGGCCATGATGCCTGCACAGAAATGCAGCAAAACAGCTGAGCAAGCCAAGCCTTGGGGTGAATATGCGTGCATAGATGTTTGTGCTTCTGCGTGCTAGGATGACAGCATTGTTTGACCCCTCGTAACCCCTGAAGATGAACCTGGAGAGTTGGAAAGCAGCATTTAGGCCATAATTAGTGTCCTGTTCATGCTGGAGTTAATTAGGTCTGTCATCATTGAAGCATCTGCAGACAGAAGCATCCTCACAGCCTCGGGCATGTTTATAACAATGCAGCCTCCCGTTGCTCAATTTTTCTTAGTGTAGATCTGACAGGTTTCTGAGATGATCTAATGTGTGCCACAAAGTGATACGCAGGTGCCGCTGAGCCAGCTTTGTGAAACGCTCTTCACTAGTCGTGCAACTTTGCTCTCAAGTTGTTTTTGTTTGTTGATTTTGAGGGTTTCAGTAAAGAAAATGATCTAAAGAGAAAAGTGCAAAAATAATCTGTGCAAGTTAGAGGTTAAAGGATTCTATAAAGTTTGATAATCAGAATGAAATCACTGCAGGCTTGGTTTTCTTTGTGTCAATTAATTTACACAAAACGCAAATGACCTTTTCTTTCAGCTTAAATGCGCAGTGATGGAGGCTGCCTGTTGCTGCTCATAACCAGATCAGGGTCATGTAAGTGATTGAGGATAATTAATTACAGGAGGATTTGATTGAATCACAGAAAGCTGTCACTTGGCACAGGAGACTGGGAGTTGATGCCAGATAGTGACAAGGTAATGCCATTTTGTGTCATCTCTTCATTCTTTGTAGAACAGCAGCTGCATGACACCGTAATAAGTCCTGAAATCCGGTCCATTACCTCTGATGGGTTCTGTCTTTTAGGGCCGAGGCTTCAGTTAGCCTGTGTGGGTGGACAACCGACTGCTGAAAGCCAACACGAAGAGCTTCATCACCGTGATGACGAGAACATCACCCTTATTTTCAATGTCAGCTCCTTTTCTTTCCTTCGGCTCATGAATAAAAAGACAAACGGCCACCAGGAGCTCGGTGGTGTAAAGAAAACGACGACAGCGTGACACACAAAGTTCCTGCTTCCATCATGAATGTGTCTGAGAAATAAACGTAGATGATTTTAGATGAGCTGCGGGATCATGTTAGCTGTCTTCATTGTTCCAACTGAAATCTGTACCTGTTAAAGTTTGAAAAAATAAAAGATTTTAGATTTTAGGTGTCAAAGTCATTGGAGGGGAAATCTCCTGATGTGCAATTAAGCTGAAAATGTCACCGTGATTGCCAGCATTGGTGTGAATGCTCAGATCTGCTTTGTTGTCTCCGTGATGGGAAGTGCGTATTCCCGTGCAGAGATATTGATTTCAGCGTGATTCGAACTCAGCAGCCCGCCTCACTGAATGGGTGATTCAGACTGGTTTGATTACCTTTACAGCAGACACCCCAACAAGGCCCGAGCACACAGAAAATCAGCAAACACAGGAGATCACAGTTTTCATGCATTTTGTTGGTGCATGACATCGTTTTTGTCTTGGAGAGTGATGGGTTGTTCTAGATCGGTCACGCATGCACAACGACTGAGTTACAACCTAAATGGCTGTGAAAATTGTTTTTCTATTTTTAAAGCAGCTTTACACCATGGCATGTGCTTTAATGAGATAATCAGTTTAATTTTGCACACACACACACACACACACACACACACACACACACACACACACACAATATGTGATTATGTTACGCCGTGCTTTTTGTAGAGTTGGTAGAGGGTTCACATTTTCAACTCTCGGCATAAAAAAGTCGATTATTTTCTTCCTCCAGAATGTAGCTGATTTAAAAAAAACAAGAGCACTGTAAGATGAAAGTCTCGGCATTGATCGAGCGCTGAAGCTGTTCTTTAAACGGTCAGCTGTTTGCTCCAGACGGGTTTAGCATCTGTCTCTGTTAGTGGGCTGCAGCCTCAGGTGAAGACTTTGTAGCTTGATGAAAAACGATGAAAGACTCCAACTGCTTAAACTCAGAAACTGACCGCAGGGGAGAGGAGAGTGGAAACCCACCCCCTAAAAAAAATCAATGCGCAGTGTTTATGTGTGTGTGTCACTGGTTTATCTCTTAGTCCCAGATTAACTGGAAAAACAGGAACTGAACAAATATGAGATAACAAGAGTCACTGATTCTAAGCTGCTAGATAAATTACAAATGTTTGTTACAAAGAGAAAAGGAGCACAATATTCAAGCAAGTGTCTATAATAATAAATTGTTCAAATCAGCCTAAAATTCTGGTTTTGGGGAATGATAAAGTTGTGTGAGTCCTGTAATTCTGGTTGAAAAAATATATAAATAGCAGGGATAGACAACTCCCTTCCAAGTATCCAGCATATTTTAGTTGTTTTCCTGTTTCAAAACAGGTGAATCACCTGTTCAGCAGCTCATCAGGCTCTGCAAAAGCTGTTAATCATCTGCTGATTATAAAAGCAGGTGTGTTGAAGCAGGGAAACAACTAAAACATGCTGGATACTGGCTCTTGGGGAACAGAGTTGTCTACCCCTGATGGCTATTCAGGTGAAACTCAAAAAATTAGAATCCATCCATCCATCCATCCATCCATCCATTTTCATCCGCTTATTCGGAGTCGGGTCACGGGGGCAGTAGCCTAAGTCGAGAGGCGCAGACTTCCCTCTCCCCAGCCGCTTGGGCCAGCTCTTCTGGGGAAATCCCAAGGCGTTCCCTGGCCAGGTGAGAGACATAGTCCCTCCAACAGGTCTACCTTTAGGCCTCCTCCCAGTTGGACGTGCCTGGAAAACCTCACAAGGGAGGCGTCCGCAGGAGGCATCCTGACCAGATGCCCGAGCCAAATCAACTGGCTCCTCTCGACGTGAACGAAAGAACGAGATCGCGGATACAAGCGGCCGAAATGAGTTTTCTTCGCAGAGTGGCTGGGCTCTCCCTTAGAGATCGGGTGAGAAGCTCGGTCATCTGGGAGGGGTACAGAGTAGATTTGCTGCTCCTCCACATCAAGAAAAAAATTGAATATTGTGCAAAAATCTGTTTATGTCAGTAATTCAGTTTAAACTGAGATACCATCTAAAGGCTCAGGAACTCTTTGCTGGTGCTCTTGATTCATTAGCTGATTAGAGTGTGACACGTTGAGTCTAGAATTTTGAACCTTTTCACAATATTCGTTCTTTTTCCATAAGCTGTAAGCCATAATCAACACAACTATAACAGATAAAGGCCTGACTTGTCCGGCTTTTCGTGTAATGAGTCTATCTTTCACCTTTAAGCTGAACTTTTTTCCAGTTTCACCTGCATGTTCAAGAAGACCACTTGTAAAAATGAATTGCTCTGGGAGAGTTACATTGGGAAAAGGAGGAAGTTTTATGGAGAATTTGGAGTCACCGTATCTTCTGGTGACAACAGCTAAGAGTCAATGACAAGGATCTGATGTCTTTTGAGATACTTATTCTTTCTTCTGTCACCGGGAGAAGTAGATTTGTTCCCTGACTTAAATGTAATTGTAGCTAGAAGATGCAAAAATTTGTATTATTTCTGCTGCAAGTGAGTATAGATTGACCTTAAAATAAATGAAATTTTACTACTCTTATTTTTTTTATCAATTTTTCTGATTCACATCTGCATAAAATGTGAGATATCAAGCTATAATTAGGTTAACAAGAATATTATGTTTATTTATTTAGCAGACGCTTTTATCCAAAGCGACTTACAATTTATAACCTATAGGGCGTGTTGTGATCTGTTGGGGAAACCGGAATACCCGGAGGAAACCCACGCATGCATGGGGAGAACACGCAACTCCACGCAAAAAGGCCACAGCCGAGTTTCGAACCATCAACCTTCGTGCTGCTAGGCACCATGCAGCCTAACATATTGCTAAATAAATAGAACAAACATTAATTTTAAGAACAGTTAATTTGCTGAGATAAGACAAATTAGTGGCATGCATTCTCATTCACAAAAACATTAAAGGCATAAAAGTGTAGCTCTTTTTGTCATCCCTATCTTCAAAGCTAGGAAAGTGATGCTGCACTTATGTCATCCAAGCAAAACAGAAAATGTGACAAAAGCTCCATCCCACCTGCAGATGCGCTGACTTTATTTATAACAAAAGCAAATCTAAGAATTAAGCTAATCATTCTTCAGCGTCTCCAAAAACTGTCTTTTGGACAAATTGACCATTTTGATCCCACAAATACTGAAGTAGCCCTGAAAGTAAAAATCACTTCAGAACAGATGTCAAAGTCAAAGTTTTTCTGCAACAGAAAGAAAAGAGCTTTTAAGTAAGAAGGTCCTCTCTTTGTTTCTTCTGCAGTTTGACAGCTGGCAAGGTGAGTGACGACTGCTGGAGAAGCCATGCAGGTCGACAGTGACTGGTTGTGATGACGCACAGGGAGTGATGCTGAACGGGAGTGAGGTGATGTGGGGATGGTAGGCTGCTGGATGGTGATGGAGGGAGGGGGTGAGTTTAGCTGGAGAGAGAGAGAGAGAGAGAGAGAGAGAGAGAGAGAGAGAGAGAGAGAGAGAGAGAGAGAGAGAGAGAGAGAGAGAGAGAGAGAGTGAGCGAGAGAGAGAGAGAGAGAGAGAGAGAGAGAGAGAGAGAGAGAGAGAGAGAGAGAGAGAGAGAGAGAGAGAGAGAGAGAGACGTTGGATGATTTGATGCTCATCGTCATCTGGAGAGACTCGGAGCACCTGCGGCTCTTTTGAACGATTATCCCGGCAGATGTGAGTGCTGCTGCCCGTCATGAGCGCACTTGGCTCTCCGCCCGCTGCGTCGCTGCGCGCCTCCGCGGTCAAAGCCGCATCCAGACGCTGCTCTGCTCCTTCAGCCGTGGATGCGAGACCAGCCCAAAGTTAGGTGAGTCTGTGAGATGTTCACAAGTGTTTCTGTAGCTTTTCCTTCCCTGGTGGTGATAAATATTAGAGGCTAAAGTACTGCGCAAAAGTGTACGATTTTTTTCTTCTAAGGAATTTCAAAGCTTAAGTATATTAAGTTGTTTAGTACAACATTTCTCCTTAATGTATTAAAATGGATTCTTCGTGACAGCAGGAGCCTTATGAGACTGGAAACAGTATATGGTATTTGTGATAACTCAAGTTTTCTGACAGAGAGAGAGGTCTGACTGCAGCTCTCCTGTGAGTGCAGCCCACGCTGGCGCTGTCCTTTGTCATTTTATTAAGGTGGATATGAACTTTCTGTCAGGCAGTCTTGGCCACATCATAGAGCTGGGATTTCCTCCACACAGCAGTGGAGAGATGGAGATTACATCTGAACCCTGGCTAACTAAAATAACAGGCTGTCCACCACTTCAGCAGGAGGCTTTTGTGTGTGAGAAGAAAAATGCCTATAACTGAACCGACACCAAACATTTGACAGATTCCTTTGAGCGAGGCATGTAATCTTTAATGTTGGAGCTGCTCTCTGATTCGGGGCCACCCTGCAGCATGCCTGCCCTTTCACTCGGCATCCCCACTAGCTGTGCATGGTTCTGAATATTAAACAGATAGGGAGCAACCGGAATCTGTATACCCAATTCAAACAATAATGCAATTGTATCAATTTAACAAAATTTCTTTAGCGTGGCCTAATGGTTCATATACGGTGACATTTTGGTTCTGGGCACCAAGCTGTTTTTTGAAAATATTTTTATGAGAATGCATTCTCATAATTGCTATCTCTAGCTTTTGTTTTCAACTTGGTTGAGTGAGAGAAGCCCTGCGAGTGCTGATGACCACTGCAGAGATCGAGGGAGAAATGCAAGGAAATAATAGACGATAAAAATCAGTCAAACAGGATAAAAACCTCATGAAGAAAACAGCAGAGGTTTGTGAGGCACACATATAATTGATGGATCAACTTTTTATCTAGTCTAACAAAGCAGATTAAGAAAATCCTGAATAAAAGTCATCCTCATTACATTACTAAATTTAATCAAATCTACAGCTGTTTCATCTGCATAAGATTAATTTCTGCATCTGTCAATGTGAAGGACTTTATATGCCACTGTCATGCTTTGGTGCTTCAAGGTGAAATGTACATTCACATATAGTGCAATCGCTGAGTTTCTGAAATGTTACTTTTGCCCTCAAAATCTAGGAGGAGCAACAATGCTCTTAATTAAAGATGTCTTGTTTTGTTTTTATTCAAAGGGGAGATATTAGGACTTTTTTTACTTAAGGTACAAAAGTCACATGGTTTATACAAAACATATTCATTAAACCCCTCCATCATAAGGAAATTTCAGCAGTTTTATTCCCGACATTTTCAGTGCCTTCCAGAATGAGCCGTTTCAGGGTTCTGTTGCTATAAGAAGCTGGAGCTGGCCACGCCCACCCCTCCGCTGCTCAGAGTGCTGTTGAGCCTTTGCACCTACGTCACCTGATCACACGGGTCCACCACAGGGCAAGAGCGTGGTAAACAGTCAGTGAAATGAGGGACAAGTGACACCTGAGATGTTGTTTGCTTTTTGCGATGTTCAACAGGTTCAAGTCCAGTTCATTTATCGGAATAAGTAGCACATCATAGGTGGAGCAACAGTGAATCACGGGAGCATTGAATGGAGAGGAAAAGTAGCAACTGAGGTTGTTTAGCCTGGTATCTACTAGTTCAAGCCCAGTTTACTTGTGGGAAGGTTTAACACGCCTAGGTGGGGCTCATAGATAGTGGTATTTACAAAAGTTAAGTGTTAACTACCTTATGAACGTTAGCCTATGTTCTCCGTGCTGCTCTTCACCAATGTAAACAAGCCAGAATTCACCCCACTGGATTTATAACATTATGTGATAAACAGCGTTTCGCTCTACTCTGGAGCAGATTAAAATTTCCTGATCCCTTCCAGTTTCTGTCGCTGGTGGGGTTCAGATGCTACTCACACTGGGATGAGACAAGATATCTCATCATGGCATCACTCATCATGCTAAATAAATAACATAATTTTCACATGTAATCCTACATTGAAACATTATTATAATAATTATCTTGCAATTCATTATAGTAGACAGCAACGCATGTCCTCCATGGTTAAATTTAGTACATAAATACTTCATAGACATCATATTTATCATTTCAGGTCCATCACAGCCAGTCCCTGTTTTCCTCATGAAATACATGAAGGGTAGTCTTACCTGTTCCATTACTGCTGTGGTTCTAGGGGTGTTTTTGTGAGAAAAAGCATTCAGACGGTCCAGAAAACTGTTCAGGCAGCCCATCTTGGTAAATTGCTGCAGGAAAAACTAATCAATACACCTGAAAAAAATTCTTACTTTTAGTTTATCCCCTTGCATTTTTAGAGTAACCCCTTTTAATGTTTTGATAGTATGATGTACATTATACAGATTTTTTTACTTAATTTTGAGAGACACAATTTGAAACTGTCAGTGTTCATTCGGGTTGTCATTAAAACAATTATAATATCAGGGTTTTATTGATCCACAGTGTGAAATTAGAATTTTTCACATTGCTTTACAGTTTCAAGTAGGTGTAGTTAATTTTTCCTTTACGGAAATTGAAAATTATTGCATCAGAAGAAATATACGTATATTTTATTCGACTAAAATAGATTACAAGGAAGGCATGGCCAGGCTCAATTTGTTTTCTCAGAAATGAGTCATTTCGGATGGTACTGAAAATGTTAAGAATTAAACTGCTGAAATAATTTTATGTAAGAGGGATTTTGTGCAAAAAACTTCATTAACATGTTGGGGAAAAAAGTCACAAAATGTCCCCTTTAATATTTGCCTACCCCAATGTGGTGCAAATCTCAGATGTAAAATTAAAAATCATGAAACAGAAATAAAACAAATTAGATAATAATCATTTCCACTGCAGTGTTCTGCTCACATTTAAAGCTTGTATTGATTTATTTAAAGTAGAGATTAAAGATGAGCCAGGGTTTTATTAGTGTGTTGTAGGTCACCTGAAGATCATGTTAACACCGCTAAACAAGCGCAGATCTCAACCCTCTACACTACTTCGGTTAAACGTAACAGAGATAAAACTGCAGGATGTAAAGGTGGGACTTGGTCAGCTTCTTTGACAAGCCTGATCACAGCTTGACCCTCGCACGGATCGCACCTCGTTTCTCGCCCACAGACTCGATGCAGCTGAAAGTGGTGAAATGAAACAGCAACAATTACAACCACTAAAGAACAATAGATGAACATGGATAGAGGCTTCTGTGTTTTACAGAATGTCACTTCTCTCAAAGCACATTCTTCTGTCTCTCTTTTCAAAGGCTCTGGATGCCGTCATCAGGTGTTGAAGCCCAACATGGATTCGGCGGGGAAGCGCCTGAATGTTGAGTACTGCTCTTCTCCCACTCTGGCCAGAAAAGTGCCTTCCCTTTGCAGCTTTTGTTTTGTAATATCAGACTTCAAACCTGGGTCTAAAGAGAGATTTTTGTTTTTTCCCCTCATTGGAGCATAGAACCCACCCACATTCATTTGAATGCAACTTTTAACATCACTTGTAAAATCACAAAAAGATGGATTACCTGATTTCAGCAGAGCATGTTTCATTTGCATTTTTTATTCGCCTCTCTGTTTCTGCTAGCATCTTGAAGCTTCGCCAACATAATGGCTCTTTCACTTGAGGCATCATCATTCAAATTACGTTTTGACAAGACCGACTTAATGTGATCATTACTCTAATGGCTTTCTTGAGAATGCCAGGATGCCCTTTTTCTCTTTCAGATTACTAAACTAGAGGTGTGTTTAGGCCTACCTTTACTGACCGGGAGAGAGTTTGGCATCAGACCAGCGTTGGAGCCAATGATTCCAGTACTGGACAACATGAGCCCCACTTCCTTGAGTCAGAACTGCTCAAACTGCAGCCACATTTTAGTCCCAGGGCTCAGTGTGGTCAAGACTGTGGTTCTGGGCCTGACTCTTGGTGTGTTCATCCTGTTTGGAATTGTTGGAAACATTCTTGTGATCCTCTCCGTAGTTTGCCATCGAAACCTAAGGACAGTAACATATTATTTTATCGTGAATCTGGCAGTGGCAGACTTGATGCTGAGCTCCACTGTTCTCCCCTTTTCTGCCATTTTTGAGATTCTGGATCGCTGGGTGTTTGGACGGGCTTTTTGTAATGTTTGGGCAGCTGTGGATGTGCTCTGCTGCACGGCCTCCATCATGAGCCTCTGTGTCATCTCTGTGGACCGCTACATTGGCGTCAGTTACCCCCTGCGTTACCCATCCATAATGACCAAACGCAGAGGTCTGCTGGCCGTCATGCTGCTGTGGATGCTCTCCTTTGTCATATCAATTGGACCACTGTTTGGCTGGAAAGAGCCAGCCCCACAGGATGAGTCCGTCTGCAAGATCACAGAGGAGCCAGGATATGCAATCTTCTCTGCTGTGGGCTCCTTCTATCTTCCCCTGACCATCATACTTGTCATGTACTGTCGGGTTTACGTTGTGGCTCACAGAGAGAGCCAGGGCCTGAGAGAGGGCCACAAGACAGAGAAGTCAGACTCAGAGCAAGTGATTCTCAGGATACACCGTGGAAACACAGCTGTATCAGAAGATGAGGCCCTCTGCAGCCGCACACATTTCGCCTTGAGATTGCTCAAGTTCTCTCGTGAGAAGAAGGCTGCCAAGACGCTGGGCATTGTAGTGGGCTGCTTTATCTTGTGCTGGCTGCCCTTTTTCTTGGTTCTACCCATTGGTGAGTATTATTGAGCTCTTCTAGCATGCGGTTCTTGAGTTTGTGAGTCAAATGTTGTCTAGTATCTTCTTCAGGAATTCACCAAAACCTTGACAGATGCTTGTGCCAGTTCTGACCAGCCAGGGTTAGGGTTCAAACTCTGGAGCCACAAGTGACCCTTTAGACCTTCCACATTGGCTCTTAATAACTTTGGCTAAAAACGATGAAATAAAAACTAACTCTTGTTTTTAAATATAGATATAATAAAAATGCAGGTTTGGAAAGTTTATCATTTTTATGATAGAATAATTACATCAAATTTCCTTAAGAAAGCGACACTAAAAGTACTAGCAATTTTTCTTTTTTACACACACACACACACACACACACACACACACACACACACACACACACACACACACACACACACACACACACACACACACACACACACACACACATAAAACAATAAAAAAAACACCCATATATTTCTGTAAGAGTATACATTTTTATTTTTTATTTAATGATAGAAAATAATTGGCATTTTTAAAAGGAATGTAAACAAATCTTTCATAATAAATGAAAAATCAATATTTATGTCTCTTATCTCAATAAAAAGTAGAATTCCAGACTTTACTGTAATCTCAGAATTCTGACGTTTTATTCTCTGAATTCTCCTGTTCTCAGAATTTTGGAAAAATACCGTAAATCCTCTAATATTAGCCTGTATTTAATTAACTGCCGGGTATCATATTTTGGCCAGTGTCGGAGTCGGCGGAGGTAAATGGTAAAATGGTAAATGGCCTGTATTTGATATAGCGCTTTCTAGAGTCCTAGAACCCCCCAAGGCGCTTTACAACACAATCAGTCATTCACCCATTCACACACACATTCACACACTGGTGGGGATGAGCTACAATGTAGCCACAGCTGCCCTGGGGCGCACTGACAGAGGCGAGGCTGCCGAGCACTGGCGCCACCGGTCCCTCCGACCACCACCAGCAGGCAACGTGGGTTAAGTGTCTTGCCCAAGGACACAACGACAGCGACAGACTGAGCGGGACTCGAACCAGCAACCTTCCGATTACGGGGCGAGCACTTAACTCCTGTGCCACCGTCGCTTTTTTATTGTGGCCGGGTGGAATGTGGTAACAAGCAAGTACGGGGGGCGGTTGTGTCATCCGTTTCACTTTTGATTTGCCAGTGATAGACCACGAGGGTAACTTTAACCGTGTGGAGACGAAGAGGAGGCGAAAATTTGATATCAAGTTCAAAGAGAACGTGCTGATTATGCTGCAGAACACTCTGGGGAGCAGTAGCAGGGGTTGTATGAACTAGTCACTAGTCGACTTCACTGCTCTATAGTGACTTTTTATGTCTGTCATCGACTAGTCGCTGTCACGTGATAATGACCGGCAAGATGCAGTCCTCAGAAAAGACAGCAGCCTGCTGTCAGCAGGTGACAAGCTCCTGAACGTCGTGAGGCGACGCGCTGTGCCAGAGCATCGGTACCGACACCCGCCATAAAACGGACATTTAACCAAATTGTGACGTTTACCCACTTGCAATTTAACCTTACCCTCACCCCCATCCTAACCTTAACCAGCTTACGCATGCAAAGCTCTGATTGTTGACGCGCTCCAGACATCTGCGTCCTGAGCACGGCCACAGTAACATTATCAAATCAGGTGTCGCCACCTCAAAAACTAATTTAACACGCGATCGTTCATGTCGGCTCATTTCCTTTTATGTTTTTTGTTTTTTTATTCTTTTATTTGTGCCTGATGCGTTTCGCTGCTTTGGATCGGGGAGCATCACCTGGTTTGTCCTCGGTGATGCGATGTGGCCGGCGAGCAGCGAGCACTCCGCTGTTTTTGCCGTCGGTTGATCTTTTAGAACTGCAGTTCAAAGGTAACTCATAAGGTGAATATATATGAACCCAGGTAGCAGTTTTTCTTTAGGATTGAGAGGAGATGCAGGAAGAAAATAAACAGGCAGGACAGAAAAATAGTCAAATAAAAACAAGTTAGTTTTTGTACCTGCTGGTTGCAACAAACAGACACCATTCAAGGTAATCAGAAGTGAGGAACAGAAAATGAAATAATTATTTTAATGTTTAGAGCAGCAGGAACTCCGAGAGGCTGCAGGCGCATCAGTGAGTTTGCGGCCGCTGCGCAGGGGGAGGGGGAGAGGGCTGAAGCAGAGCAGTATAGATGCAGAAACTACCGTTGTTAAAAGAAATGTGTTTAACGTTGAAAATGTGGGCGCAATTTTAATTGTCAAAAACTCCAGCGAACCATTAGTTCATTTTGCTCAAATAGAAATTGAGGCCTGCCTCTAATTCTGGTCCTCCTTCCAATAAAGGCCTGGAGCTTGATGAGCTTGAGTCAAATACAGGCCAGGGCCTGTATTAGAGGATTTATGGTAACCCTTTTTCCCAGTGACCCTAATCATCTTCCCTGGATTTTTATCAGAAACTATGGTTCTAAACGTGTTCTTTTTAGATGAACTAAGGAGAAAAATGGCTCTTTTGACAGAAAAGACTGTACCCCAGGTTTATAGCGTAAAATATGTATTGGTCCTAAGAAAGACCGATGGTTGTAAATGATCAAAAAGTTGCAAAATAAAATATTCATATTATATTTATATTAATATAAATGCAACATCAATACAATACTCAGTATGTGTTCACTACTGTGTTTATTACAGTACGCTGCATAGTTTGGGAACCAAAGTTTCATTTGTATTTGTTGTTTTTGGTGGTCGCAGGTTACAATAATAGCTTACCTATGTGTATATATGAGGCAAGGTGGAGAAACGAGGGCTCGGGCAGGATTCAATTCCCAGACTCCCGGGTGAGAGTCACGCGCGCTTACCAGTCAGCCAAAGGGACATCCCTCTTGGCCAAATAGGGACACCGTGACAGGACACTCACACTGCCACATATACATACTTTGTTATTACTTTTAGTGTGTATAGTGTTTCTGCTGCTGCAACAAGTGAATATCACCACAGTTTCAGCCTACATGACCAGAGTAGAATTTTTGAATGTTAAATGACATATTTGCTCTTGTGCCAAGATAAAGAAAATATATTGTTACTATCCAGTAAGCCCAACATGCAGCTCATGGGCCAGACACAGCTCTTTTTTACCCTGGCCAAGAAAAAAATGTAGATTTCAAAAACCAGATTTGTTTTAATCTGTTTTGTTTCTGTAAATTTCTGTGACCAATTTGTAAGTAAAAGGAGCAAAACATCTGGATCAGTTTGCTTTAATGGTTTGTTAGCCTGTTACCATTGTAAAGCTGCAGACCTGTGGATTGAACCCAAAAAATAAAAAATACAACGAAAGCAAACTTGAAAAAACTAATAATGTCGTCAATATATATTCATTATGATTGACCCACGGTCAGTACACTCCGATTATATGTATTTTAAGCATAGATCACAATTTAATACATTTATACAATTAAAATGGAAAAGAGGGGGTTTTCAAGGCCTATGTTTTGAGCTAAATGTTTTATTGGATGGCCCTAGAAACCTTTTCCAGTCCTCCTGTGACCTTTCAGAGGAGTGTTGGTGCAGATGTCATTTAAGTCAGACCCAGATGAGCTATGGTTCCCTTCAATGGGATATTTGCTCTAGTGTCAATGTATTTGCTGAATGAAATTAAAGTATAAGGCTTTCTTTTTAGTATCACATTGAACCCTTTATGGTGTAGTCTAGAAGAAACTTCCCAAAATGCCAAAAGAACAGATCACGGGATGCTTTTAAACTTCGGTGAAAGTTAAATTCTTGACCACTTTCGTCACTGCCTTCCCTCTGAGTCAGACTGCTCTTAGAGAACTATTTACCTTCAGCATTAATTCATTTCACTTATCCTCACATTGATTTATCCTGGTGCCAGCTTTTAAAGTGCCCGTGCACATTTAATGGTGAGATTAAAGTAATTTCATTACTCTTCTATGGGATCACACTGAAATTACAAGAATTCAAACAAGCTCCGTGGTCCTCCGGAGCAACGGACTCTTGTAAATGTAAAGGCAGACAGCCTATAAATAGACTGCATATAAATCTTTTATGTCTCTGACGTCCTGCTGTCCTTTTCCATCAGTAAACAATCTCCAAATATTTCAGAACAACACATGTTTAAAAAGACAGCCTCTCATCTCAGGTGTCAGCTCTCTGCGGCTGCTTCTAGTGTCCGCTGTGTTAGTGACTCACCTCGTCTTGCCTTCTGTGACACATCAGGCATCACACTCGTGTCACAACTTATATTTTTTCCCCAAGAGTACCTTATGAAGACTGGATCTAAAATGTAAAAAAGAAAAAAGTAGGAAACAACCCTGCCAACTTTATGTGAACAGTGTGTGCTGCTGTCGATAATCTGAGATGGAAATCTAACCAAAGTGGACTCTGAAAATTTTCCAAAATGTGCAAAAATCATATTAAAGGTTTTTGTTTATTCCATGCTCTCATGCTTGCAAATATAGCCGCTGCCATTTGTTTGAGTCCTTTCCAGATTGGGAAACAAGTTAAACCTCATCTCAACAATGTTCCTGTGCTGATGCTGGCGTCACTGCTCGTACCCCATACCACACAAGTCCACAGACGATGATGGATTTAGCCGTGACTCACCGAGCCTCGGTACAGTTTTAACATAAAGCTGGAACTGGAACACTGTCGTGTCATCAGAGAAAATAAAGTGGAGAACTTTGATCACGGAAATAATCTTTAAAAAGATGAGTTGTTAGGCCTAACATTTATTTGAGGGTTGTCCTGCTTTCTCCTTGACATTTCAGGAGTCCCCCTGCAGAATTACGTCAGCGTAATGTGAGCTGTTGCTAATTAATGGAACAGCTTTGTTTGGTGGCCCTGTGCTGCAAGTTATTAAGATGCCAATTATAAAATAAGTGCTACTGACTCCAATTGGAGAACAGCCCTGTAACAAGCTCCCATCATGGGTTTTAGTTCCTGTTTTACTTTTTATCTCCATCTTTATCTGTTGCGCTTTACCTTTT